CTTTTAACCTACATGACAGCTCTCTTGGCCGTCATGTAAATGCAACGTCACGCAAAAGCTTAGAAATTCAAGCGTACTCTATCACAAAACCAAGAACCCTTTTGAAACGAAACTTTGTACGAAAATTAATTTTCAGCTGCTCTAATGCATCGTGATAGTAAAATCTCGGAAGGATCGATAGCTTTTTAGTTTGAATTTTAGTGACGTCAAGTGAAAACCAACAATTATAGTTATTAATATGTGCATGTCTTACACCTATAGGTGGCCTTATTCCCCAAAGCATCAAGCTATCTCCCTTAGCCTTAGGTTTCTAGGGTCCTTCTCAGGATCTTGGCTGTTCCTAAGAAACAAGCTTTCTGGAGCAATGCAATGATCACAGGTGTTCCCAACTCGCTGACCCACATCCTTAGGTGTTTACTCATAGCCCCAAGAGCTCCAATTACAATAAGGATGACAGACACTTCTGCAGTTCCAGATCTTTTGCACTTCCACTTTTAAGTCCTGATAGTGGTTGATCTTCGTCATTTCTCTTTCTACTACCCGTGTATTATAAGAGCAAGCTACATTGACAATGAAGTACGCCCCCCTCCTTTTCCAGCACCTACAATATTATTATTATGTCCATTCTTTGTAGACTAAGGCAGGATGTTCGGCCTGGTTTATAGTCCTTAGGAGCGGGTTACGACAAATCACCACGGGTCCTTGGTCTCTCTTTTTCTTCTTCTTACAGGGACAGTACTTTCCTTAGTATCTTTGCTGTCCCCAACAATGCTGTTTTCTGGATAACTTCCAATCTCACGTTCACGCCGATTCGCTTTGTGTACTCCTTAAAGTTGACTGATACGGCTCCCAGGGCCCCAGTAACAACAAGCACTACGATGACTTTTCGTATGCGCCAGACTTTTACAATTTCATCGTTCAATAATTGGTATTGTTGTATCTTCTCAAGTTCCTTATCTTTCATCCTGTCATCACCCAGGATGGCAACATCAATTATGACAACCTCTCTCTCCTTCTTATCAGTAAAGACAATGTCTGGTCTTGTTGCCTCAGTTTTCCGATCACACTGGACTGTGAAATCCCACAGTATCTTGAAGTTTTCACTTTCCACCACTCCCTCCGGCCTCTCTTCATACCAGCTATTAGCTCTTTCCAATCCACATTTACCACAAAGTTGCCAGTGGAT